AAGGTACCACTGTTTCACTGCAGTGTGGAATGCTGTGGATCAGTCAGAACACTAATTTTAACCTGGTGCCCCTCTGTATCCACATTTCTCTTACAGCACTTAACATGGTACTGTGAAACACACACTACCATCTGAAGGAGAGGCTGTACACTGATGACTTTTTTCTCTACCACCAAGACTACCACCTTGCAAAGGTTCATAATTATTCAATGAATGACATCTAAAACAGTAACAGAGGGGTAGGGTCCAGCAATACCCTAAGCTTCCTGTGTGATGATCAAGATGAATGAGATACTAATTCCAGGATTTTTATCTTTCACTTATGATTTAATGCAGCACAAATCAATAAATCCAAGAAAACATCCAACACTAATATTTTATCCTCTTTGCCCAATGTGATGGGGGAATTTATATTCTCTTACTTGTATTAGCCATATGTGGCCAAATTACAGTATGATATGCACCACATACATATTAGCAGACAAATGTAGCACTGGGAAGAGACCAAGATAGAGGTCTATAAGGACTCGTGCAGAACAACTTCCTCCTTAAAAATCACCAATTAATTTGATTATTAATTCAGAAAAAAAGCCGCACATAGTAATGAAAAGAACTGTGGAGTCAGGCTGACTTGGAGTTGAATTCTAGCTCTGTTCTAGTTGTTTTATTATGCAGCTTTACCATATCTAGTGAATCTTTATCTCCTAAACACAGAAATTACAATGTCTTAGTGAGGTGAAGTGGTGATTAAATGAGATAATGTATATAACTTTCCTGTCACACAAAAGGCAAGATAGGTGATGATATGGAGGCTGCTTAAGAACTCCATGACACTTCTAACCCTGCAATATTTTGCTTATGTCAGATATACCATGGATATTACTTATTTAGATTTGGTTATTTTCCCTAGTTCTGGCCTCGTTTTATATCTTATGTAAAAAATTAAAGCTTCTCAAAAAGCTATTTACCTCTATTGACGTGCTCAAATAACATGTTTTAAGTCACAGGTAAAAATCTTCCATTTTTGCAATTCAAAAAAGAGCATCTTTGAATAATGAATAATGTCAAGGCTTTGTAATAAATCATTTAATTCTGGCTGTGATTTCTTTCATGATTAACAATGCCCTTAAATTCCTTTTTTTGTTGTTTTTTCAGACAGTGACAGTCTCGCTATGTAGTCCAGGCTGGACTTGAACTCTGGATTACAGGCCTGCACCATCACACCCAGCTCCTTAAATTATTTCATAAAGGCATTTTAGGTTATTCCTAACATTCATTCTATTAATACTCTGCCCTTTTTTTTCTCCAGTGCTGGTCACTGAACCTAGGGCTTTGTGCATCCTAGGCAAGCACTCTACCGCTAAGCTACATCCCTAGCCCCTAATTACATTTTTAAGAAGCTCTAACTTTTGTCATTAAGATATAAAAAGAGGTCAGAACTAAGGAAAATAACCAAGTCTAAGGAATATACACAGTATATCTGATATAAGCAAGGCATTGCAAGGTTAGAGGTGTCATGGAGTTCTTAAGCGGCCTCCAGAGACTATTATTTTTCCATGCCATGTTCCATGCCACTTCCTCTATCAAGACACTCCTCAATTCAAGAAAATTACTGGGGTACAGAATGCAAAAGCAGTGCTTTCTAATTTAGAGCACTTCAGAATGCCCCGCATTTTTCCTCCTAATCCATTCCCCCATAACTATTTGTCACCCCATCATTTCTTCCTTTGGAATGCACAGTCAGTGTCAAGGACTGATGAGCACTCAGCCTAGGCAAGCTGCAGCTGGTTCTTTGCTCTTGCTGAAACCAAAAGAACACACCTTTCTTTCTGCATTTTGAAATCTTCAAGTTGACAGGCCAGTGACCACTTCTAAAACATGCAATATACTAAGCTTGAGGTGCTACAGAAGACATAGAAGATGTGAAAAAATATCAATGAGCAAGGCTACTTCCTGTTTTTCCTAACAAAATGGAGTTATAATGTATTGGAAATCATATATTAAGGAATGTTGGTTAACCAGTCACCCTTGCCAAGATCAGATATGAAAAGAAAACAAAAGTTGGCAATAATTCTAGCTCTATTTCTCTTCCAGAATTATATTTAATAAGGTTAATTTTTGAAGAATGCACTGATTTTACTTGATTTAAAAATGTAACTTGGAGAAAATTCCTAACTGCAAAGCACAAATTCAAGAAAGACAAACTTATGTGACTACCCTGACTGTTTTATATAAAAGTACTAATTTTTAAAAAGATTTACTTTTAAGTAATAATGTTCTTATACCTCCTCTTTAGTAAAAGGTTACTAAATTATATTTTTAGTCTATTAATTTCTAAAAGGAAGTGAAACTGAGGGCTACATGAGGCTATAAAAGAAGCCTATAAAGTATCTTTAATTTTAAACAAAAATGAACATTAACAAGTACAGCATATCTTGTTCTTTCACGGGGCCAGCAAATTGATAGTTTGGGGGTTTTTTTGAAGTTACAAAAATAGGATGGAGTAATTATATCTACCAAACACACAATAGCCTCTTCAAGGGAGAGTAGCACTGTAATTTTTCTTCAAAGACAGTAAATAGGAAGAAAAAGCCCCTAATTCTGTAATATACTGTAAGAAAACCTTCCAAACCTTTGGGTGCCATTTACAGGCATAAAACTTTCACTGATTTCAATTATTACCATTAGGATGAGGGACAGACATGAAAATCTTTTATTTTAATGAATATTATTTGTATAACATCATTTTTACATGCATTTTCTACACTTTCAATTTCTACATCCAAAGACCAGAAACTAAAGGAAATTTTTAAGTTAAAAAAAAAAATCACAGAATTTTAATACAATAGATCTTTAGACAGAAAAGGTCTTCAGAACTCTATTCTGAAAAATAAAAATACATATTTCAAAATCTTAGCATTAATTTTCCTCTTGAAAGTATGAATACAGCTATTGTCAAAAAAGGAAAATTACAGTTCAGATGTGATTTTATAGAACTGCTTATGTTTTTCTAAACTTTTAATGGTAAATCAAAAAGTATTTGAACAAGCAACACAAAATACACGAAAATAATTTTATATGTCTTTTCCCCATATCTAAGTTACACACCAAGAGATTCAAATGAATTTCAATCCCACTATCAAGAAAATTGAAAACAACAACAACAACAACAACTCAGTATATTTCAAAAGGACAAGGAATCGACATGTTACTACAAATGAAATCTTTACATATTACATTTGGGATGAATCAGCAGTATTCTGGCTGATAAAAATTTTTTTTAAAAAAGATGTTTACTAACTCATTATTGCATATATTGTACTGTGCAATTACACTTCAGTTTAAACAAAGAAAAGAAAATGTAAGCATTAAGCATGGGTTACTGAGTCTTGGAATTCTACCTGCCTCTACCTTAGTTCTCTTACTTTGTGTCAAGAGGCAACACTAAATAATTTTTATATTTTTACAGCAGCTGCTCATAGGTCATTAAGATGAGTAGAATGCTGACGTTTGCTACATTATTTATTAGACCCAAACAATTAGGTCTCATGAGACTTAATTTCTCAAATTTGGAGTTAATTTTTAAAAATGTGTAGTTCATCTGTAGGAACAATTGCCTTCTAAGAATTATTCTAGTTAAGTTTTAATCCAATCTGCACAGAAACAGGAAACCATAGAGGAACATTATCTGTTGTAAAACTGTTACGTGTACAAGTGCACACAAAAAACTGTACCGCAGGCAGAGCTCTTTTCCTCTCAATATTGCCGTGCCACACTGCTCTTTTAGTACTTCTTGGAGGAAGAGGGGGTTCCAAGTAATAAGCAGTCCATGACTTTAAACAAATATCCAAGGGCACACACACAAAAAGAGTCAACTCTGGAAAGTTAACCAAAAGTAAGGAGTCCTACCATCACATTCATCTCACAATATGACATTTTATTCCCAAAATAAATGTCAGGGCATTCTACAGGACAACCGGTGATTACCATAAAAACATTTCTAAATAACCACCAAGACTTTGTGCTTTTGCATACACTAATTGGAGTTTCAAAAGGGCGAGGCCAAAGAGCCGCTGGCGTAAATTACCTTACACTGCTCCTACTTCACCGCACCAGAACCCACCCAGGCCGAAGCCCACCGCCCCGCGATCCCTGGAATTCGGCGGGCCGCGCAGCTGCACAGAGCAGGCAGCACCGCACCGCGCTCCGCAGGCCCGCCGGAGAGCTGCGGGGAGCAGTCACCGCCGCTTTCAAACTGAATGGCTGACACATCCGGTGCTGGCTCCTACACTCCTCCGCCAAAAGCAAACTTCAAAGGGCAAATTCAAACTCCAAACAGAAGTCACTAGAGTCTTAGCTCTACAATTCAAATTCCCAGGCACACCAGGAGCCCCTCGGGGGACGCGGTTAGAGAAACCGCACGTCCGAGGAGACTGCAAGCCCCGCGAGTCTGCAGCGGGCCACGGCGCCGCTTTGACAGGCGTTCCCGGTAGCCCACCCTGGGCCCCGCCGCTGGCGCTCGGGTCGCACCGCCTCCCCGAGCTGGACCCAGAACCTGCCCGCGGCTGGAGGGATTCCGCCTGTCAGGCGCCTCAGCCCTTGTCGCCCCCCCGCCCGACCTTGGGCTCCCTTACCCACCCGCCCCCTTTCCGACCTCCGCCCGCCTCCCGCTCGGCCTCGTCCCCTGGGACCCCGGTCCTGGGCGCCGCCGCTGGGCAGTTACCGACCTCCCCAGAGCCCCACACCTTTCCGCAGCGGGTCTCCGCAGCGCGGCTCGCACGCCTGTCACATGTCTGCAAACAATAACAAACTCCCCGGCACGTCGCCGTCCCATCCCCAGGCTGGTCCCGGGCGCCGCCCGACTCTGGAGAGCTCGTGGGTCCCCAGGGGCGCGGGTCCCACGAATAGCGCCGGGCCCACCGCGCCGAGCCCCGGGACGCCGCGCGCGGTGCCGGTTCATTCATTGCCCTCCGCCCGCTCCGACCCGCCGCGCTACTCACCCGGCGGGGGCCGCTGCTGGAGGCGGCTCGGCAGCGGGCACCCGCGTCTCCCCGGGCTCAGCCCCCGCGGGGCTCGGGGCGCCGCTGTCCTGCGCGGCCGCCGGCTCGGCAGGATGGACGCCGCCGGCGCGGCTCGCGGCTCCGTGGGGCGGCGGCACCACCACGGACTGCAGACTGCTCCCGCCCGCGTCCACAGGCTCCGGCGACGGCGAAGTGGAGGAGGACTGCGGCGAGGCAGCGAGGAAGAGCGGCGGCTCGGGCAGCTGGTCCAGCTCCACACTCCGCACTTTGCGCAGCTGCCGCCGCCTCCAGTCTGCCCGCTCGCGGCCCCCGCTGACCGTCTCTCGCAGCAACCCCGCGGCTACGGCGGGCGCGCTGCTCGCCTTGAGGGCCCCTCCGCCGCCGCCCGCCTCGGGGCTCGCCGTCCCAGCGCCCGGGAATCCCGACGACGAGGCGCGATTCCCCGCCGCCGCCGCCATTTTCTCTCGCGGGCTACATTCGCTCGGCCCCTGCGAGGGAGGGAGGGGGCGGGGAGAGCGCAGGGGGCGGGCGGACGGGCTGGCGGACGGGCGGGCGAGAGTTGCGCCGCCAGCGTAAAACCGCC